GGGGCGCAGTGATAAGCTAAACGTCGTGCGCCAGCAAAAATTCGAAATTAGGAGTCATGGCGAGAGTATTAGAGACAATAGTGAGGCACACTGATCAAGCAAAGAATTGTCAGACTTATTCAGGAGACGTGAACTCCGAAAGTTGTCTTTTTCATGTCTCAAAGCGCTCGTAATCTAGTTTTCCACTCTTCTAGGTAATATGGATGATTAGATAAATTATATGCTCTCTGGACACTTCATATGTTCCAGCCACATTATGACAACCAAAAGTAGAAAACAAGTTTACATTAGAAATGCATTACAAGTGTTAACTCTTGAGGTTAACATTTCGTCGTTTTGAAATTACCCAAGTTGTCATCAGTTCGCATTCTCCTTGTTTTTATTGCTTTTATTTTACATGACTCATCGTCTCATTTACCGTGCGGATCTCAGCACTTCTTGCATTCGACTCGTTTTTCCTCGTATACCCAGTCTATAATCATCTTCGAAAATTCCTCATACTGTTTCGGTTGATGCTTATGGACTATGGACTTCACATTCTCCTTATTAATGTCGTAGGATGCCAGTCGAGTCGATTCTCCTTGTAGTCTTGAACATAGCCGGGCTAGGGCGTTCGCACGCGGATTGTGGAAGCGCGTTGAGGGACAGGGCAGGTGGTATTCGAACTAGCGCCTTCGCTTCTTCATCGACGGCATCACTCACCATTGTACTACCCTACTCAAGTTGTTAGATGACATTCTAGTCACGCGGTATGTGCTGTTGTGTCATTCTGTGTACAGTTTACTATTATTCCTCATACGGTCTACTTTTCGTAAAAATGGCTTCCGTTCTTCGGCTGACTTCTAGGTTGCTCATCTTTGCTTGGCATTAAATCATTATAGGGTATTCGAATTCCTACAACGATGGCCCAGGTTGGTTCTACAAACCAGCTATATGTGAACTACTTTCGAGGAGAATGCTTCGTCTACTTCACGAATGAAGCATAGTTTTTCTATTCACTTTTATAGTAACTATTGCCAGAATAGTTACTATTCTTTCACCACATCGTAGGTCTGTAGTAACCACATTCCTGGTCCCCCACATCGCTTTGCGATCTTGTAGCATGTAGACGTTCTCACTTCATTGAGAGAAACTTTGGTTGTCGTAAACATTCTTTGTTATCCACACTCTTTTTATGCAGTCGGGATTCCCTGTGTGTTGCATCTGTTCCAAATCATCACGGGTACGGCAACACAAACAGCATGAAGCTGTCTGGCAAATCGTCCTCAGTCTTCTGATCACGAAAGAGTTGGATGTGGAAGTCGACGAATGTTTCCGGTAAAAGTTCTGGACTTGTGACAAGGTACCGCCTCCTCCAGAAGACATTTAAGTGGCCCCGTGAGTCAATATAGCTTTTCTGTCATGTTCCTCTAAACACGCTAACTCTATTGTGTGTTCACGTTAACCTCATCGCAGTATACTCATACGCTTACATGTATTCTCCAATACGTTAACCTACTCGCAATGTACTTACAAGTCAACACATAACCTCATCGCATTGTTATAACAAGCTTACTTGGCGCTCTTAACGTGTTAACCTCATCAGAACCACATCACAAGCCTACACATACTGTGTAACCCTTTAGTATTGTTTCTTGTGAGTCAAGTATTACGGCCTTGTATAAATCCCTTAATTCGTCTAAATCTTGTGACACTCTTGAAGTATTCTAAATGCACACTGCACTGTTTTACTGGCCTATAGCAAAAATGCTAATCCGCCTTACCCTCACTTATTGATCGTCGTACAATGTTGCAGTCTGTATTGTACCAATGTTTATATTCCGTTATTCTTGAATTGTTATGAATATAAACGGTTTACTTACCCACTTTTGAGATGTTGCTCTGCGACAATCAAGAAAAAGTCCCACATGGCAACTTCTACGAAGTCGAGCATCCTACTCAAAGCTAGTGATCACAAGGTGCCGAGAACTGACTCGAAGACCTAATTTTCACTAGCAGCTGCTAAAACTTTCAACGTAAATAAAAGCGTCAAAGGGTGGATTGTTACAAACAAAACAATGGGGCGCTGTGGCGATCAGGACGTTTTGAAAGTAAAGTTTTCTGTTTTCCATGGAAGCGTCCGTTCTTATTGTGACATTTACGTGAAGTCTTCCAGCATTCGAAATGAATTTCACTGCATTGTTGTTCGCTTCCTGAAATCAGTGTGACAGCTGTCATTTTATTGCCAAAAATACCGTGATTTTCCATCCCGTTCTGGTTCTACAAGAAAAGTATTCATTTTTTGGAGAAAGGGGATTGTAATTTTCCATGGAATGACTGCTCACGAAAACTGGTCCGTACATTCTTCTGACCAAATTAGTGATGATCAAAGTAGTGTCGGTGACCATGCTTTGAATTGCATGTGTAGCAAACTATTGCTTTGGGATCTGCAAATGGTCAAATACATCCGGAGGCGTTCCGCAGGTCGATTGAGGTGCTTTTGAGCAAGTGAACCCGCCATGCGCATCTACTCCGATAGTTGTGTCACTGAGATCGCCCTTAGATTAAGAGTACCCCAAGGTCATCCCTTTCATCACACTCGCCGTTCGTACACACGCACTCACTAATTCTCCCGTTCACCGTTGCACATTCACTTAACCGCAAACACCCATTTCCTCTTGTTCTGCTTATCGTCGAGAAATCGAAATATGCAATTTAACAACTTTCCCAACCTGTTTGCGTCGCTATGACCGCTTCTACATGCTGCCCTCAGCAGCGTTAGTTGCCTCATGGAAAATGGCCAAGAAGGCTGAAGGACACAAAAAAGGCCAATTTTTCCGTTAACACAACCAAGCCTTCTTTTAAATGTACTTTCCTAGCACCTCGCATTAAGAGGAGAATCAGTTGCCGGCATTATTAAATATACAAATGCTGTTTGAGAACTCTGGGTGTCCCACTCTTTTCGAAGTTCATTCACTCAAACTTGGTAGACGGAAAAGAGAACTCTATGAGTTTCCACTTTCCCGTTTTTTCTTTTCAAGACCTTTCCTTACTTACATTTATTTCAATGCCTTTCCTTTAATTATCGGCTAAATTAGTAGTGAACACCGGGTAACAAAGTGGCATCTTTTGACGTATAGTGTTTCTCAAAATCGAGCTTTTTTCAGAAGCGACTGACGATATTACTGGTCATAAAACTTCAATTCTTTTCTTGTTGCTGTTTTTATCGCCTTGTTTACCACATCCAATTCGATGTCATGATTTATTCTTCGTTAACCCATAACGCCCGGGAGCCGTTTTGCGTGGAAGGTCCAATGTTTCATTGTCTGTGGATTTTCTGATTTTTGAACATAAAAAATTAGTTCTCCTATAACTATAGTGCTTTAGGGGTTATCAACATGGAAAAATTGCAGAAGAGGCTTTGCTCTATCGTTCAATGGGTATGAATAATGTGTATGATGGTATTTTCTGCGTGTTACCAGGCCCCATTATGCAGCACCCATTTTCAGTTGATTTCATACCCGCACATTCTATGCTATAATTATGAAAAGAAACAACAGTTAAATGTTAACCATACTCCCCGTGAATCAATGAGGTTTTCGAAAAAAGGTTCTTTTGTAAGCTATCAAATGCAGGCAATACTTTTTCTGATCGCACCACTCCCACCTCCCACTTACCTATCCAACGAATATACATAATAGTGTAAAAAAAACTCTGGAACTCAATAAACTGAATACGGACACTATAGTGTTCAAGTGCGGCGTCAGGGCTAATTTTGTCCAAAGAACGAACGACCACTCTATTTTTAAATAGTACGTCTGAATCCAACACAGCCTCTATGTTCCAGTGATCGTGTGTGTTTCTGCTTCGAACATTACATTAAGTTTCCGTTTTCGAAGCGTTTCCGAAAATCATTGTCCTTTACGTTTGCCTTGCTACTTATCGTTGTTATCGTCATGGTTTCCAGAAAGTGATCAAGATTCCATTTAGTCATCTCTTACGTCTGACCATCACCATATATATAACCTTTACTTAGTCACGTCGTTCTTCCACTGATCGCCCTTCCACTGCTGATCTTAGAGCGCATCGCAAGACGCGTTACAAGCGCTTTTGTAATTACCGTTATGGATAAGCGGAGTTCAGAATTTGGTAGGGAAGTGCTAGGATATTGAGGTGTTGTAAATGAGACCAAAAAGAATGGGTAAACGGCTAATTTTGCCAGGTTTTAATACTACTAGAAGCTAAAGTAAGAAATAGTGGTTAAGGAAAATATTAAAGGAATGCGTGTTTTCTGAATTTTGCTAAGACCACATTTACCACGAGACTATGACTAAGTGGTTAGTGGCTAAATGAACTCCTATGTGGGAACATCCTGGATCGGAAACCCGCTAACCAATGAAGATAAGTGTTCCAGTTTTCAGGTCGCGATCCCATATCACAGTTACAAACGTGTAGTTGAATAGATAGCAAACGTCCTTCTATAGCGACACAACGATCCATCCCTCTATAAGCGTTCATTCAGGCCAGTATAAAGTTATATCGTACGACCTCGCATGTGAACCGGAGATAGGATTTTACCATCCAGTGCACAAAACTTTTTCTTGTCAAACGTTTTTATTGCTTAGGACCTGCTTGTTTAGGAAGTGCGATGTCTTTCTCTGCTATGATCGGCCTTAAATTTTAGCTGTTACAGAACATTGCCCTTGTAATCAGTAAAAGACGCCTTAGTGATAACTCTCTGTTCATAGAATAACCTATTATTCACTTCCCTTCTATTTCTTCTTTTTTCCAGTCTGTTATATTTATGATAATCTTGAAATCCTGTAGCACTACAATGTTTCTGTTTTCTGTTATCTATATTTTTTTCCTACGTAAGAACCAATAACGTCATAAATATTACTCGAAATCGATTTATTTATCTGTATCGATGCTACTTGGAAATTTAGACTTATCACAAATCCCGAAGAAGGCATCACTCAACGATGTCGGCGACTATTTGCTACACTGATCTACCCCTAGAAATGATGGAGAAAATTCTGGAGAATGTGGATGCGACCGACATAAGGACGGCACAGCACGTATGCGTTCAGTGGAGGAACATCATCAACAGGAGACGCCATGCTATGAAGCGAGTTCCTTTTAGTCAACTTGGTTACCGTGGAAGAGATGGCCCCATGTGGGCACTGCAGTAGGAGCCAGGCGGATCGGCCGCCATGTAGAACTGGCGCTTGAGTTCCTGAAGATGATTTTGCATATCGATGCTTATAGTTATGTTTTGGAAGCTTTCGTTCAATGATGAGTTATCCAACAGTTAATTCACTCGAAAAACATCTTGAGGGCCCTTACAGTTTGCAGAACAAATCCGATTAAACATCGATTTTTTGTACTCTTCAATGTGATGATTCTAATTTATTGTTAGCAGTTTGAAACGAGGCGCTATTTCATATTTTCCATACGTCTACCATCCTGGGAAAAGGAAATCTGGTGCACTAGGCACTCTTGGGTATCCATACTTAGCTCGATCCTTATCAGAAGAAAAAAGTATAATCACAATTTAACTGGTACATCTCGTAGTAACTCCCAAGTCCGAATTTCTATTAACCTATGCGGTTGGACTGAAACTGAGCGGTTGGTCTCCACGTGACATATTTAGTGGAGGACTCATAGAAAGCGGTGAGTGTGCAAAGACTGTGTTCAGTGTGGTTGAAATTTTGGTTCAGCATTTTCTCTGTTTGGTTATGGAGGTGTTTGGCCGTGTAGATTGTAGTCAACTCGACCTTTCTAGACTCTGAAGAAGGCGAAATCCGCAGAAACGTCAGCTTGTACGTAAATAAAGAAATTAAGTAACACCCCGTGTTTGCTGAACAGAAGTAGGAAGAATCACAATTTTAGTTTATTATTTACTACCTACTCTTTTTAATGGTAGGGTATATATTGTAAAATATAATTTCAATGATGTTGAGATATTTGCAAAACTCCGGACCGCAGGTGTCTGCGGTGGGGAACGAACGCGTTATTGTTCTTTCCGGGGAGTAACGCGTTCACCACCACACCATGCGGGTCTTTCGTTTTGCCTGTCTCTCAGCTAGTTCTACCGATCTTTTACCATCAGCAATCACCCGCCAACGGGACTGAGAGACAGGAGAAACGAAGGACCCGCATGGTGTGGTGGTGAACGTGTTACTCCCCGGAAGAAGCAATAGCGCGTTCGTTCTTCACCGCATAGACCTGCGGTCCGGAGTCCTGCAAATATCTCAGCATCATTGAAAAAAGTATGTTCCAGTTGTGGCCTACGATGTAGTGTAACTAGCAAAAGAGTTACCACCTACTCTCTCGGACGGTCTCTTAAAGTTTATCTTACAGATACATTCTAGGCGAATTTATCATTTTAAAGAATATCATTTGAGACTTATGAGTTGAACAGTATTTCAGGCGATATCGTGTGCAGGAGATTTATGTTAGTGATGACGGGGATGCCGCTGTGACGTTGACGATTACTCACCTTTGTCCTTCATGGGAGGTTCGTTCGCATGACCTTTTCATGGCACTCACAGAGCACTCAATCCATTTCATCTGTAGCCACGTGGAATGATGCTTTGTTGTACCAAATGTCATTGGAATAAACTTCAATAAGTTGGTGTCTATTGAAGTGACACAAGAAACTAAGAAAAGACTCTCATTTCGGTGACTGTTGCCAAACATTGACTTTACTTTAAAGGCCATTCTTTTTTTCTGGCAAGGCCCATATTTATAAATAATTCTCTTTTGATTTCTTCATTGTCATTTGGGCGTGTTTTGTATTTTTGTGAAATTACGGGATAATGGAACCATGGTGTTCCATACGAAACTGACCACTGCTAGTCACTCCCGGTGTAGTAAACCATGCCTACCGCTTTGTGATAATTCAATCCCGATGAGCAAAATATTGACATTGAATTGTTCCTAGTTGGGTTTGCACTTTTTTCATTTCTTGCTTTTGTTTCTGTCTTTGTTTTCGTCGCGATTCTGCGCTCATTACACTGGGAGACCTCTACGGTACTAAGCTCTAGTAGCACGCCTTACGCTAGACCCAATAGGGTGGTGCGACTTGCGACCATAAACCATACAATTCTTCATTTATTAAAATTTAGCGAAAAAATAATTTTGTTTCTCCGGATTAGAGTTCTCTTCCAAGAATTCAGATGTTGCTTTTCGGCTTGTAGTCTGCGAATTTATATCATTTTTAACCTACTAGTGTAGGTGAAAAGCATTTCTTTACATTCTGCAGCAGAAAAAAAGATAAAGCTCTCGGCGTTGATCAATCCTAAGAGATGTGTCATGCATTCGACTTCATTAAGTATCGTTGGAGGTGCTTGAATGCATATCTGACCTTTCCAATGACTCGCGGTGGCCTATCGATATATCGAGCCAGTACTGCTATCCTCCCAGGCAAATCTGGTACCAATTTGCCGACCCCGGAGGGACGGAAGGCTTGGTGGGCCATGGGCGTGGGGATCTATTCCACGTACGTGTCGCAGTGGCGCCTGCAACCTCTGTAGCATAGAATTCTTAGAACGTTTTTATTATTAGAGTAATACTTGTTGCTTATTTCGAGTTTGCAAATTCACGGCATTGTATCTGCATAGATCTTGGTTTTGAATATAAATTCACAAGCTTTCGTCTCCAACTTTAAGTACATCCGATTTTATCTCGTAGTAAACACTATTTATCCAAATCAAAATAAAAGCGATTGTAGTTTCCGCATTTTTATAAACAAGTTGTAGGTTACCATTTATTGTATTTCGTTTGGAAAAATTTTTAGCTTTGTGGAGTTAGCAAAAAAAAGTCAGGAGTTAGTTGTTGAACTTGCCGTCTGCAAATAGTTGTAAGGATGCTGAAAAAGTGGTTATCTGTTGAATGAGACCTCCTTCGAGTAAACTATGATGAAAAAAGTTTCATAACCGAATTCTTCCGATTTCGGTCGTGCTGCTGCTTCAACGTGTGCTCAGCCACCTTCCCTACTTCCAATTAATCAACGCTAGTCGCACCAGTCGCTGTTCTTGGTGCTCTGGTGTTCTCTCAGATTCCAGACACGACATCTTTCTTTTAACGGTTCGTTGGAACTCTTGGAAGTAATAGTAGGTAATAATAGTGATAATAGCAGAAATAGTGCTCAATAGTGGGTGTTTCTCTGGTTGACGCAATGGTAATTATATTATTCATTTATTAAAAACTTGGCATTCAAAGAATGCTTCGTTTTTTCTCGTTATGTCCAACTCCGTAGATTATTGTAATCTGCTTTAAGTAGTCTAGTTCACACATAACCACGCGAAGAATACATTGATCGTAAAATAAGCACCGGCAGAACCGACGCTACGAAGTGTCCTCATATGGTCTGGAACTGTTATGCTTGAATCTGTTCCAGTTGACGTCTTCAGACGATCGCCTTCGTAAGAAGTGACTAGTGATGATCTCTCTATAGCCAAAGATCCTATCTCTTTCACGAAAAAAATTTTATGGAAATCTTGCATCTCATAATCGTTAGTGGTTTCCAGGTTTCGTGTAACATTGCGGTGTCCTAGATGTAAATTAGGGTCCAAGTGGTAGTGAAAAATCGTGCGAGTTTAAATTTTCGCCGTTCCTAGACTTTGTTTGAAAGTGACAAAACATGTGAAGCACATGTTTTTTTTGTTTTATTTCATATGATCCTTCTTCACGTCTACTTTGAGGGTCCCAGCATTTCTCGCATTCGTAGCACACGAGCAATAAAGCACATAACAAAGAAAAAATGTGAACCTCACTATACCAACGCATTTCAGGGTGTTTCTACAGTGAAAATCACTGACTACAAAATGTTGTTCGAGTGCATCTGGATCTACTCGCCAAAGAAGTTGAACATCAGCGCAACCAGGAATGAGCTGCGAATAGCACTGGAAAGCATCCCCGACTGGTGGTTTCACGACATTCAAATGGTCAGTGATATTCATCAGTGAGCTAAGGAATCCTCGGAGATCGAGGAAAAATCTAACGTCAGAAAGCTTTCAGTATTTTTTTGCGCATTGCTGCCTTACTAGGCTGATGTTCGTAGTAAAATCAAACACTAGTAATTCACCGTTCTCTTAACAACAAAAACGAGGTTGTTAGTAAATAGTTATCTATCCACGAAAGCTGACGTTTCGCGGATTTCGACTTCTTCAAATCTTAAAAAGATTGAGTTGATTGCAATCTACCCAGCCAAATACCTCCATAACTAAAACAGAGAAGGCACCACACCAAAATTTCAATCCTATTGAAAACAAAACAGCTTCTTTGCACACTCACCGCTTTCTGAGTCCTCTACCAAGTACTCTATGTGAAGACCAACCGCATCAGGTACACTTGGAAGCGCAATGTGCCTTTCTCAGCTTAAAATATCAGTCCTAAATATTATGTGAGGTCACGCGTGATAACGAAGCATTCCTTCCTGCGGTTCATTTTTTGGATTCTTCGGATTTATCCAGACAGCTTCGAGGGTTTTACGCGCTGAAGTTCTAGTTTCCTGTGTAAGGATGATGCCCTCTACTTCAAAATCTTTGCCGCTGGTTTAAATTTACTAGCAGCTGTTTTTTTATATGAATATATAGTGGTCTACTCGCATCTGCGAAATGTTCGCCCCGTATCCTTTGAAAGAAATCAAATAAACTTTATCCAAACTCATGCAATCACAATCTCTACCGTTAGGGCATATTAATTATGCAATTTTACGTTGTGCGTATTAGCCAGTTAAGAACTAGTCTAACGATGTATGATAAGTTGGATACATTATGCGTCCCTCAAGGATTGATCAACGCTGAACGCTTTATCCTAACCCTTTCTCGGCACTGGCGTTCAATCCACCATAGCAACTGAGCCTATGTATTTGACATCATGCCGTACCATGGAAAAGATTTATATAGCAAATAATAGTTAAAACATTGTGGTTCCGTTAAACTTCTTCAGTCCTTTCGAAATTTTGCATTTCTGTTTACCTTTTCTTACTTCTAAAACCAATTCCATGAATCACATAACTAACTCTTAAATTTTTTTAAAATGGGGTTTGTTTGTCTCTGCTCTTTAGTTCCAACGTAAAGGAAGATTTCTGACAAGGACAATCCAGAATGATGCTGAGATATTTGCAAAACTGCGGACCGCAGGTGTCAACGGTGGGGAACAGACGCGCTATTACCCTTTCCACGGTATAACGCGTTCTCTACCACACCATGCCGGTCATTCGTTTCGCCTCACTCTCAGCTGGTTCTATCGTTCAGTGCTATCAGCAGTCATCTAATTCAATGCCGATTTGGGTTCTCCAGATCAGTCCCATTGACAGGTGACTGCTGATGGCATTGATCGATAAAACCTAGCTGAGAGAGGCGAAACGAAGGACCCACATGGTGTGGTTGTGAATGCGTTTGAATGTTACCCCGAAAAGGTAACTGCGCGTTCGTTCCCCACCGCAGAAACCTGAGGTCCGGGGTCTTGCAAATATCTTAGCATCATTGTGGTTGTAACACACATAATACCCTGCCGTGAAGAGAAAAAAATTTAATAGACAGTAAGTAAAAAGTTAACGTTGCAATCCAGAACATTTCGAATATTCTCTGCTATCTCATTAGAAGAGTGCTTAATGGTTGGCAAAAGAAAGTATCGGAGTCTCGTCTTCGTTTCTTTTTTTTTGTAAGTTTTAAATTCACTGATTTAAATGTTCGTTTGCAGATGGGCATCTACGAAAGTGCCTGTGACCTCGATGCACTGGCTCTGGTATCACGAGCGCCGCACTGCTCCTCCCTTCGAATTGGTCAGTTCTTCTACTTTAATTTACTCCTTGCTACCTTATGCTTTTAAAGTCTCGAAATTTTTTCGTGATTTTCGTTTTTTTCATACGCAAAATTCCTACGTTGTACCCTCTTAGCACTCACAAAGTAAGGTTGGTTCAACAAAACCTACTTGTCATTTTTCGAAAACTGCAGTTGGGGAGTTAAGAACTTGATGGAATTACAGAAGAATCTTGTTCTGCTGTTTTAAAAGTAATTTAAAAGGTGGGATATGATTAAATTCATAAATCAGGATTTTTGGAGAATTGAAAAAAGTTATTTGAAATTTAAGCGCGTGTGGCGCAGTGGTTGGAAGAATGCAACACACGTAGAATCCATCCTCGGGCCCATGGCTCACCAAGCCTTCCATCCCTCCGGGGTCGGCAAATTGGTAGATGTACATTCAGTCACCTCCAACGATACTTAGTGAAGTCGAATGCATGGCGCATCCATCAAGGATTGATCAACGCCGAAAGCTTTATCCTTTTATTCTTTATTTGAAATTTTAAGTTTGCATGGCCAGAAACATCAGCAATGGAACAGTATCGTGTCTAACTGAATGAAATTCCGTCTATTAAATATCTCTACACTTTTTGAAGTTTAGCTCACGATGAAGGAATATGATTTCTGGGCTAGATAAAGCCAAAATTTCATTGTGACAGAGTAAGAAAATTTCCATCTTGTTGAAGAAGATCTGCAAAGATTGTGTGGTTTAGTGGTTGGGTAAAGAGGCAATGAATGCACATAGGATCGGTCTTTGGTTCAATCCGGCGCATTGCACTCATTAAGCACTCTATCTCTCTGTACTCGGAAAACTGGTAGAAATTTCTTCGCGAGGATAATAACATCGACTTCATAAATCAGTAGACATTCACAAGTCATTGTGCAGGCCAGATTACCTCTTCGTGGCCCATCGATCGACACTGAACTCTCTATCCTATCAGTTTCTTATTCATCAAAAGGAAATGAGGGGTTTTCAATAGAAAGCTTTGCTATGGCTGTTTCGAATTCAACTTATCCATATAAATAAGGAACGTTGCAACCAGTACAATTCTGATGGAGTGTTGCAAGCTTGGATGAATTCTTTACATAAGAGCTTATATTTAACTCTGAATCAAATACAGTCATGATACGGCATTCTGTTACCTCTTGATAAGTAAGTAGTTTCTCGTGGGATGAAGTGCTTTAGACGTTTGAAGAAGTAATAATCCGTTAGCAGTGAGAGAGTAGGCAAGTTCGAGGGATGAGAAAGGATTTGTATTCCAGTTCGTCCTATAATAATCACCCTAGGATCTTCGTATATCAGTTCAGTGCTTTTTCTATAAGCATCTCATTACCCCGGCAATGTCAACAATGATTAGATGTAACTTTAACGATGCTGAGATATTTGCAAAACTCTGGAGCGCACGTGTTTGAGCCGACACGTGAAAATACGTGCGCTGCGCTCTGGAGTTTTACAAATGTCTCAGCATCATTACAGTTATATTTCACATCATACCCTGCCGACAAAAAGAATAGGCAGGAAGTAAAAAGTGGTCACATTGTGAAATGGTGGAATAACACTTTTACTTCGTCCTTCTATCATCTAGGTTCCGAATATTCCTTGGTAATAACGGTATTCCTAACAAGAGCATGAAATCCACTTATCGAGCTTTCTGACTTCTTCGGCCGATTCAAAATGATGGAGTTCGTTCATATGCATACTCCTAACATTTCCACCATGGGTATTGCTATTTCTCCACTTTTATTAGGTCTTTAGTCGCTCAAAGTCATCCGTAGTTTCCATCCTTTCACATTTTTCGTCTGCAAGATTTTCGTCTTCAAGTTCACACTTCTCAAGCCAACGACCATGGTGCTCTGCTATTCAAAAAATTGTTTCTTGATGCTCCATAGAGATTCTGAGGAAGTGCTACGGCATCACCTCCAATTTTCTTTGTTACAAAGAAGTACACAAATTTCGCGTTGATTCGTTTAGCGAATGAGTTGGTGAAAGCACGATCGAAGAAGATGAAGTCTAGCGCTATTCAATTATATGTAGAAAGTGTAAGAATCATTCGGACCTTGAAGAAAAAAATATTATCAAGTCACACATTTCATGCTGAGCTGTTTCATGTATTTGAAGCAGGGGTACATAGGGTGCCCAACAACGCATTTGATAAAACTAAAGAGGTTGTCTAAAGTTGTACTTCATGCATTCTGATTTCTGTTGCGGTTTCAGATCCATGCTTCACCATTGACAATGTCACGTCGCTGCTGAACTGCATGAAAAAGATTCACGAATTGAAGTACATACGTTCATTACACAAGGAATCGTTACGATAAGTGATGATCCTGTAATTATCACAATGAAGAGGATAAGAATCATTGGCCACTACGTTGATGGCGACGATCGTCGAGCGCTACCTTCGCTAGTGGCTAGGATTTTTTTTCTCGGCATTGTTCTTCGAGGCATCACATTTACTTCGAAACATCTCTTCACTAGAATGACAAAACCCAGGAAATTTTTCTGTTTCCTTAGAGAAGATAGGATAACGGAAAAGGATAAAAAATTTTGCGAGCTTTTTGAAGAACGAAAATGGGACAAAAATGAAATAGGTAACAACCTGTACCGGAAATTATCAAAATAAACGATTTCGCTCGTGAAAACTGCGAAACATTCTTTAAGTAAGAGTGGAATTCGTTCGCTTGGTTTTGAACCAGTCGTGAAATTCAGTTAAGGTAAAGGTGGTGATTCTAGTTTTAGTGTCAGTGTACTATAACAGATTACGGAAAAGTTTCGTTCATATTTGAGGAATTGCTAGGGACAAATGAGCTGGACTTCATGGATCACCTTGTGTTGTCCCTATTTTTGTCGCCATTATCCAATTTATCATTTTTTTTGTTGGCTTTCGACAGCTTTATAACTGTGTATTATCTTTTCAAACTTTTTCAGAGAAATCGATAGCCAATTGTGAGGGTAAATTTTTGAGAAACTATAGGATGAGGCCGCACACAACTGCGGTCTGGAGTTTTGCTAATATCTCAACATCATTGTAATTATGAGATTGTGAAGCACCTGGGAACAGCTCAAGCTCGCTGACTTCCTCCTTTACCTTTCCCGGTTCTTCACCAAAGCTCTTGCAACCGTATTATCGTCTGTTCATAATTTTCATGTTTCAATGAAACTTCTGCAATCCTTGTCAGCCTTTTCTCGAGCTGCAATTTATGCCGTTTTCGCTTCGTTGAAGGCCTCCTTTTTTCAGAAATATTAAAAGTACCAAAGTTTTTTTCTTTTTAAAGCTGACTTGCGCAGATGAACAGAAATCCATCATCAGTGTTTTACGTTGATGTCAGTTCCCAGAGCACGTGTGGCGCACTGGTTGGAGGCGCCACTGCAACACACACGTAGGATCGATCTCCGCTCTCGTGGCACACTAACCCTTCCATTCCTCCAGAGTCGGTACCAGATTTGTCTGGGAGAATAGCAGCATTGGCTCGATACATCAGTAGGCCGCCAGATATGCATTCAATCACTTACAAACGATGCTTGGTGAAGTCGAATGCATGGTGCATCCCTCAGGGATTGCCCAATGCTGAGAGCTTTATCCTTCATTTTCCACGCTATCGTGTTACTCAATTTCATTTATTTCTATTAAGCTGTTTCGTTCCCACTCATTCTACTTTTCTGGAGTATTTTTTATTTTTCCTTGGTGCTGTGACACAGTGATCTTCTAACTTGGTAAGCGAAGAACAAAAGTGGAGTCAAACATATAAATTACTGAATTCCCACCCCATTTTTTCAGTTTCCGGTGGGAATTTCGAGCGGCACATAGTTTTTTATTTGCGCGAAAAATTTGCAACGATATGAATATAACGAACCTAAATCGTAGTTGATGTCGTGAAGAATTCTGATCTGTGCTGTTATTTCAGGATTCGTAGCTGCTCGAAGACAATCACAGCCGACGATTCGACTATCGACGCGCTCATTCCGCTGTCGATAGCCTGCCCTGACGGTCTGCAGTCATTCTGGGTCGACTCTATATCCACGGAGTTCACGCTGCCCAAGATGTTCGAGTTATTCGAGGTAAACGGCTGATAGTCATCGCTTGCGTTACTTTAGCACGCAAAGTAAGCAAACAAGAGTTAGGATAAACCATTAACGCAGAGAAATGGCACCGTCAGGATAAGGAACAGGCTGAGAGCAAGGGAAAGCAGTGGCTTCAGTGGTGCAGGGTTAACACGTGCCCGTTAGGAAAGGCGTATTCGAATCTGGCCTGGAGTCCATGTTTTGCAAACATCTTAACATCATTGTTGTTGTATTTCATAGAACACCTTGCAGTCAAAAAATAACAGGCAGTAAATAAAAACTTAAATAACTCGTGTATAATGCTGAGATATTTGCAAAACTCCGGACCGCAGGTGTCTATGGTGGGGAACGAACGCGCTATTGTCCTTTCCGGGGAGTAACGCGTTCACCACTACACCATGCGGGTCCTTTGTTTTGCCTGTCTCTCAGCTATTTCTATCGATCTTTGCCACAGCAATCACCCGTCAGCGGGATTGATCTGGGGCGCCCAAATCGGCATAGAACCCAGTTAAGCTGCGGCTGTAGTTGAAATCACAATGTTATACCTTTTTATTTCTAGGACAATAGCGCGTTCGTTCTCCACCATAGACACCTGCGGTCCAGAGTTTTGCAAATATCTCAGCAACGTTGTGGTTGTATTTCGCTTAGTACCCTGCCGCGAAATTATAGCAGGTAGAAAATAAAAAGGTATAATATCCTCCACTATCATTCTGCCCATTCTGGAGAGATGGAGGGCTTAAATCGCTTGAGACAGAGGATGCAACCAACAATCGATCCTTTGTGCATTGCTGGCTACCTATAACCACTGCTCTACACACTGTTTACATATATATTAACTTATCGTATAATACTTTCAGAATTCATTTCGTCTTCATAATAGATCTTCATGATTTTGAATGCTGACATTCTTAGAAAGGAAATTTTTCGCCGAGGTGCTCGTTGCTGTTCGAAAAAGTGCACGGCAGCGAGACGGCTCTTCGCAACTGGATCTTCTCCCACGCCCAACGGGTTCTGTACGTCTCCCGGCAGACCTACAATTTCGCCTATAGAGACGTGGAAATCGGGATTTCAGTCGAGCAGTTTGTGCCTTGAGACTCATGCGATTTTGCTCTGTCTGTTTGTCCATATTTCTAAACATCATAGTATATAATTTTTAATTCAGCTAGTGAAGTACTTAGCAGCTGTTTTCATTTTTTTTTATTACTACCCGCCATTCCTAGTTCTTTCTTCTTGATTGTCAGGTTTCCTACATATTTGACGTCTTTCACAGCTATGTGATTTGACTCTGCTCGACAGTAGTTGTTATAAATGCCAATGTTGTTGATGTCACTTGCAAATTAGCCACTAGTCAGCCTTTCACAGGTGTATTTCCGATTGGATTGTACTTTCACAATGCATGTTTTGCATCAAAAACTTGTCCAGGTAGCGCAAATGTCACTTGTACGCTGTTTGAAGTCTGCATTCCGAGTATACTCAGCGGATTTCAGTTATTCTCGTTTACAATATTTTTGTTGCTTCTTCTGCTCACTCAGATTTTGTGGTGTTTGTAAATGATTATCCCTCCTTCAGGAAGTACACTTAGATCTGGGTATGGTTCTTTAATGCTCACTTATCATCTTAGCCTTCCTCATTAGTCTGCCATTTTTAATTAGTTTGTTATAATGAAAGTATAAAATAGCCTAGTATTCACACGAATTCGTACCTCTAAAAATTCATCATTAATCCTGTAATAAGCTCGTCACCATATGCTCTCGTATTTTAGAACCTTGCGATAAATCTGATTTCAAACCTTATTATTGACCTTTGGCTAAGAGATACGACGATTTTAGAAGCTAAGTAAAAGCGTCCCTTGTGAAACAACGTTGTCGTAAGGTTCATATGGCTTTCGTAGATTCTCACCTGTAGAAAACGGTTTAGACATACCACAAGAAAGATAATGAAATTATAAGCGAAATTTACTAAGGTCAGTAGATCGTGCCATTAAATACGGACAGCAGCTGGGACAACTACCTTTGAAGACAACAATGACAGTTATCCTTGGCAACAGAAAAGTTCGTGGGAGAAATGCGAGAAGCCCTCATGGCTCTCAGTTTTATCGTTGCGTATGGGTTCTGAAAGTTTGTTACATAATAGGAACACTCGTCGAAGGAGCAGCCAGCATGGTTGAAATATCAGGTGTATTGTCAGCTTCTAGTAAATAAAAAACCAAAGAAAAAGTTTCCAGCGTTTATCAATCCCTGAGGTATGCGCCATAAATTCCACTTCACCGAAAATTGGAGAGGTAATTGAATGCACACTTATCCTAGCATGTAGGATAATTTGTGCTGGTCTAGGTATAATAAAGCTAGTGTTGCTATCATCTTAGACAAATCTGTCACCATTTTGCCGAATCTGAAAGGTTGGAAGTTATGTGAGGGAACGGGGTGAGATCGGGACAGTGACCAGCTCAATGTGTACTGCAGAGCACCTGTAAGCACTGCGCTTAGCGCACTCAATTTTTAGCAGCCTTTTATTTTCTATAAACTCTTTAGCACAAGGTCTATAAATGGAAATGTTTGGTTACTGTGATGGTGCTATCTAAAGACGAAAATGCTCGTCGCGGTGCTTTCCACTGCATTCTGAAATAGTGCAATTGTAATCAATATGGTCGCGAAAAGGCCAAAAAGCTCGCCAAGATTGCATGATTGCAGGTACAAGCTGCCAGTCCAGAGTATGAACATCTCTACTCAACTTTTACCAACCCGACCATTCTGAAGAAAATGACTCCGAACAGCTGACCACCGTCCACTTAACATATGAGATCACTAGACTATTGCCTGTCTTTCGAGTCGCTTAATATCTAAATGAGGATTGTCTTAAACCATAAGTGGATAAAACTCAGCGAAGATGTAACTGTGACGCACGATGGCTTACAAGACGGCGATCTGTTCTAAAATAAAGTACATAATTAACCGTGCTGGTTCTTAAAAAAATTTCATGATCTTCCGTTTGTGCTACTTTGAAGACCACAAAAATTCCTACTTATTGTTAAAGAAGCGCTAAGAATAAAAGTTAACAAAAAAGCAATTAAATGCCCTAAGCTACGATTCTGGCAATATATTGGCGATATGTTACTCAACCAGCTTTCGAAGGCCTGACTTTAAAAAGTTCTGCTTCTCTCTATAGACATCGAAATTTATCGCCACCCGCACTCACTGCAATTATCGTCGAGTCAGTACTGCAAAGTTAGTTTTTTTTCCTTCGCGAAGCCGTCTTAGATATGGAAGCCATCGTCAAAGAAGATTCAGTTACAGGTCTGGTAGAATTAATCGCTTGTTTAAAATTCACCTTCTGATGGTGAATAGCTGTGCTACTGCTTGATCCATAACAGAAGCGCGCTGTTTAGCGTAGCTCTCCGAATAGAATACGACCAATTTCTTGTCAGCTGCGTAAAATGATCTATACGCTATTATTAACTCTTGATCATCGACATGGATCATCGGCTCTGAAGACGTCGAAACATTACATTAGCCGAATAAATATTTTTATTTCAGCTTCGCGTTAGCTCAATAATCCAAGAAACTACTGATCCAAGAAAATTTGGATGTTAGTGAGATAGGTTGAGATGTTCATTGAAAGTTGGACGATTATAACGCTTAAAAACCATGCTATTCTATCCGTTGGCCTCTCTACGATTAATAGAATGTTGAACGTTGAAGGGTCGCTAAACGCAAGATCGTCAGAGGACAGTAGTGTATACTGCGTATACAGTAGTGTATACTCCAAGCCTTGCCATAGCATTTATGTCTAAGGTGGAAGCACCGGTGACTGATCTCGGGCCGCTACTCTACTGTAGGTATGTAGACGACTGCTTTGTCCTTTGCTCAACACAAGAGGAAATGGACGAATGCTTCGAATTGTTAAACGCACAGTCAGAGTATATCAAGTTCACCCGAGAAAAGCCGAAAGAAAAATGGCTTCCATTTTTGAACGTACAAATTCACCTATCAGAAAATGGCTACATTACAAAGTGGTACCGAAAGCCAAGTAGTAAAAATATCTTGGTTCATTACCTCTCCTCTCACCCCTCTCACACGAAAAGGGCGCTTATAAGAAACATGTTTCGAACAGCAACCAACGTGTGCACGGGAAGAGAGCAGAGAGAGGAGTCCCGG